CTCCCATGCCATTGGCTACAGCGGCGAACCATCCACCCAATTCAGTTGGTTTCCCGGCTATCAGTGGCACATCATTTTGTGTAAATTCTGCGCGCAGCATGTCGGCTGGGAGTTCAAGGCAGTCGAACCCAATTTGGCACCCAAAATGTTCTACGGCCTGGCTGGGTCCAGTGTGCGCATTGGCAAGGCCGGCGACAGTGCCACCGTCAATGGCAACAACTTTGTCGTGCGCAACATGCTGCGTGTCATTTCCAGTGAACTGGAATAGGACTTACACTAGGACTTGACTCACATAAATTTAAACAAACAAAAATCTGATTGTCTAGACAGTATCTTATAGAGAGAGAAACTTGAGGATCGTTCTATACACGATCTGCGGGCGCAGGTGCAAACGGAAAGATTGATTTTAGTTAAAGTAAAAATTATATTTAATTGATGTTTAAGATTAAATTTAAAAAAAAACGCTGCTCCATCCTAACCACTGTTTGCTTTACGCTGCATCCAAGAGTGCAGCAAATGAGGTGGACAGCTTCTGCGGAAGACAAAGGAAAGGATTTTACTTTACTCGACTCCCCAAGGCTGTTCCTTTGTGACCCACTCACCGCCTTGCAATACGGACACAGCCCAAAGGAGACATCCAGAAAGGTCTTACCATCCAGCTGCGTCTTGAACCATTCCTCCAGGCAGGCCGCATGACACTTGAGCACACAGCGTGCATTGTCGCACGAGACGATGGGCACCGCGCCACTGTCCAAGCGATAAACAAAACAAATGTTGCAATGCTGCTCCTGTTCCTGCTCTTGCTCCGGCTTGTGTGCCTCGTTCCAGTCGGGCATGGGAAAGTAGCAGAGATCAAAGATGCGCAGCAGATTCTTGTGCATGTCCAACTCCGAGTCCCAATTGCCGAGACCATCGCTGAGCACCTGCCGCAGTCGAGCCACCTCTTCTGTGGGTCCTATGATCTTCAGCGCCATGGAGGCAATGCTGGCAAAGGGATCCCCAATGGTCACCTTAAGGTAGACGCGCTCTTTCAGTGGAAAAACGCGTGTGTTGTCCTTGGTGGTAATGGGCGATGGCTGCAGCACATGGCACAGCACATCAATGTCCATGAAGTTGTCGTAGAACGGGCGCAGATCCTCCAGCAGCTTACGGAAGAGATTCAGCGCATCACTGAGCGTTCGTGCGCTCTTGGCCAACATGTCGCCCAGTGGCACGCAGTCGGGCAGACTGTGCTCCAGCAGACGCATCGTGGGCAGCTCCAGCTCCAGGTAATGCTGCTCGAAATCGGGAAACTGACTGAAACGAATCCGCGAGCAGTCAGCGTCCATCTGCAAGCGGTACTCATGGGGCCTGTGCATCGCCAGAATATCAGCGTATATATTGCTGGTTGGCTGGGCATCACTTAAACTGCTAATCGACTCCTTGGCCGGCAGCAGCTTCGGCAGATGCGACAACAAATCTTCCAGCAGCCAGTCAGTCTTCACCTGCAGGTTGCTGCCGGTGTAGCACTTGTACTCCAGTTGCTCCTGCACGTACAACTGAAAGCCCACCAAGGCCGGATGGTGGGGCAAATACAGCTTCAGGCGACGCCAGTTTCCCTGTGGGCAAATATGTTTACTTTATTTCAATTAGGCGGGAAAAGACTTTGCAGACTTGGGAACTTACCTCGCTGCACACCACGCCACGGATTATGATGGCACCGCCTTTGTTTCGTTCTGCGGTTAAGCCGGGATACTTCACTGCCAGGAAGTGCTCCAAAGTGGTCCTCTCGCTGTCCATTATCTGGCTTAAAAGCGCAAAAACAAATTCATAACAAATTTTTAAACTACATGAGCTAGAGGTGGTCTGAAGTCACCGATAGCAGTATCGATAGCGGCTGTTATCGATGGTGCGAAAGTACCCGCATATTTGAAATTTTCTATCAAATTTAAATAAACGCAGAGGTATGCCATTTCTATAAGGAAAAAATGTGATTTTAGGGGGTATATATATAGTTATAGTTTCCGATCTTTTTGGCGGCTGTTTTTCCCACTCAGCGGAAACTCTGCCACCCAAAACTAGCCTCTCCAGAGCTTATCAGACGAATTTACGTTATGTACTGATTTGATTTAGACGTATTTACTCTTCGTCAGAGCGTAACACCTGCAAGCCCCACTCTGTTTATATTTGTAACACCTGCGTGGCTGTCTGGTATCAATCCCCAACGAGTTTGATAAACCCTCTCATTGGTCATCGCTCGGTCAAAGCCACATGCAAAGCTGTCTGCTATTTAAACTTCTCCTTTTGCCCCAGTAGTTCCATTCACGATCATCCACTGCGGGCGCGCGTACCAACACACAATCTCGGCACAGTCCAAGTGAAGGAGTATAGGGAAATTCCACGAATCTAGAAAAAATGTTGCGAATTATTTTGACTCTCACCCTACTGGCGGCTGCAGTGAACGCCACGAATGTAAAGCAATGTAAGTTCACACAACAAATATTTAAAATATATTTCTCAGTGGCTGATTATGCCGGAAATTCTTAACTCCAAAGAGGCTCCAAAGTTTATTGTCGGTTATGAGTTTGAATCGAGTGAATCACGTTCCAGACTTTGGGTTTAGCTGTCCTCAAACAATCTAAATGATAGCTGGCTGCTGATTTTATATATATTTATGCGTGGATCAGTAGAAACTCAAGAGGGTCTAGCATTTTGATAGCAGAAATAACTCAAGAGAGAGTTTCACAATGTTGCCTGCTTTTTTGAGCATTCTAAAAGCGTTTCCCACTTCGATATTCTCAAGAGAGTTTCCAGTTCTGATAGCGCTTGTCTTGGTATAATCTCTTGAACATTTATTCCTCGAACTGTAGCCAACTTTTCTGCTTACCTTCAGGCAAAGATAAACCATTTCCCTTGAGTGTCAAAGTGGAGGGCTGCGATGAGCCACCGTGCGTCGTGTACAAAGGCAACGCAGCCGTCATGGAAGTGCAGTTTCTGGGCAGTAAGTACTAGACACACCGCAGATATTGAACATTATACAAGATAAATCCTTACAGATAACAACAACATCCAACACATAACAGCCAAGACCACTGCAAAAGTTCTGGGCTTAAATGTGCCCTACGAGCTGCCCGATGAGGTGTCCAATGTGTGCCGCAATCTCATGTACGGCGCCATGTGTCCCATTGACAAAGGCGAGGATGTCACTTACCAGTTCAACTTCTATGTGGATCCCAGTTTCCCGGAGATCACCGCAGATGTTACAGTTAGCCTCGACGATGCACAGGGCGAGGTCATCAGTTGCTTCATTTGCAGCTGCAAGATCCGCAGGGGTGCGTCGGCAGCCAGGCAGGAATATCTCCTGGACTGGCGCGACAACCAAACCGAACTGAAGCCATTCGACACACGGTTGTAGTACGCGACGCCACTCGTGTGGACTGACTGAATGTCACACAACTTACCACTGACCAATAAAGGCAAAAACCATACCCAAAAAGATTGAAAACATTTGTTTACTCTGAGTACGTCATGAGTTCCAGTGTACCCGCTGAAACGTCCAGCCGATTAGCACATTTCCACCGATAAGATATAGGCGGAATATATATTTATATAGCAGTCATCGGTGACGTTGTGATTTGCACCGAAGGCAGGGTAATTTATTTCACTGATTTGACTAGTTCAATGGGCAGTAAAAAGCGATTTTATAATCATTTATTGACCGCCAGCGTATAGCTCGAATTCGCCATATGGTCAAAACTTGGTCGCCTCCCCCTTATCTACCCCTCGCACACCTTTCTGCACTGAGTGCAAATGTACACTTGTCCGAGTTCTAGGAAAAATACGTTTTTGTCAATTTTTTTGGCAAAAAGATTGCCACAGAAACTATAACAAAATCAATGATATTTTATCTGTGTACGAGTGCTAGCAGATTTGTGATTTTTTCAGAGGCCAACAGCTTAGTTTTCGTTTTTGTTTCTTTGTAGTTCGTTGAGGTTATTGAAACGTTTCTGGAAAGGTTAATTAATTCTTTCCTATAGAGTAGTTCATTTTTTTGGGCTAATCTTGACCTAGCACTAATTTTTAGTAGTTGGGCAATTGGATATGTAATCGAATGATTTTGTTGACAGGGAAGGAGTTCAGCGTAAAGGAGTTTAGTGTTAATTTAATAAATAATATATTACATAAAATTAAATATGTATCTATGTATGTAAGAGCCAGAAGTACCACATACATAATTCCATATCTTTTTTTCAGTTTAATTTTTCAACTCTAAAATCTCAGAAAAATCGAATCAGAGCAATCGATTTTTGCCTAGTGTAGAAAGACTCACACGGAATGCATTTTATTGCCACGTTTTAGACTGGGTTCTTGCCCAAAAATTGCATATACGATTGCACAGATATAGATAGAAATTCAAGCCGATGAGTCACAGCCAAAATAATGATTTATATCAACAAATATTTAAATTTAAATCAAACACCTTCGTTTCGACAATTGCTCTACCCCAGGAAACCCATCATAAATCATCTATCAACCCACTTTTTCCAGTGCATTTTGAAATGAACTGACATCTGATAAGCTTGGCTGATTCGTTGGGTTTTCGGATAATTACCATTGATAGCTCGGTACATTTCTCTGCTTCTTAAATAGCTGCTTGCCCGGGCTGAACAGGTGTGTCCCGTCGCTGGCTAATCAGGCTCGAGACTTGCGAATTATTATTTGATTCGATTATACAAGTAGGTACAAGTAGCTTCCCAAGCACTTAATTGTACACTTTTTGGGCTGCGTGTGCAGATAGCAAAATGACCAACGGCAAGTTGGGATTATAAGCCAAAAGAAAAGCACGCGAGTGTGCCTTTTGGTTGGCATTTTGTTTTCAATAAAAAGAATACACATTGTGGCATACATTGGTAATGCAAAATCACCCACCCCTTGCATATATGAGGGGGGGTGGCGCTGCTTTTAAAATTGTATTAAATATTCATGAGACCCCTCCGCGGAGTAAAGGTAAGCTGAGGGGATTGGGGATTAATTTGTGCCAAACTGGTGGGGTTTATTTTTGCTTACAGATGCAAAATGTATCACAGAATTTAAGGCCAATGAATGAAAGAGAATTTGCTCGAGTTTTACTTGGGGTTTTCAGCTGCCACTGACATTGCCCTTGACCACCTTGATGTCACACACAAAACAGGTGGCAATATCATCATCCTGATCCACCAGAGAGATCTCCACTTTCACTCCAATCTCCGGGTACTCGCCAATGGGAAAGGCAAACAGATAGGTGACATCCTCGGTGGGGTACAGCGGGCAGTAGGCGCCAAACATGAGGTTCGGGCACACGGCAGCCACCTCTGGCGGCAGCTCGTAGGGCACTGTGATGATACCCAAGGTGGTGGCCTTAACCTTGGCCTTCATGCTGGTGATGTACTTGTCCACGGCGAAGTCGATCTCGAAATACTGCGTTGAACCCTTTATAATGTAGCAGGGCGGCGTGATGCAACGGTCGACACGAACCTCCAGCGGGAAGGGTTTGTCGTCAGAGCCTGAAGCAAAATGATGACAATTAATACTCAGAGAAACCCTGAGGAAAAGTGTTACTCACATCGCCTAACATCCGTGGCTAGATCGCTGAGAGCCTGGACCGTGGCCAGCAATCCCAGAGAGATAAAAATGTACAACTTGGCCTGCATGTTTCTGCTTTTGCAATGCTTTCAGCCAACCGTGCGGACATTGTTTTTATAGCCGAAGCGACGAAGCACAATTGAGTGAAGTTTTTAGACGGATTTGCTGCTAATCTAATCGCAGCTATTAGACTCGAAATGGCCTTCGAAGGTGGCTGCTTTGGCACTCGATCGCATCTTTGCCCAACAGAGATAAAGAGCGGAAACTCCACCAATTTCCAGTGCAATGATCTTCATTTCTGTGTCCCAAAAATCACTTGAAACATTTGCGAATGGAAAGAGAAAATCAGCAAATGGGGCAACCGAATTTTATCACTTCATCTCAGTGAAAAAATAAATCCTTGAGCGCTCCGCAGCCACCACAGGCAGGCAGGCCACTAAGCCTGTCCACAACGCAACAAAAAAGAAGGAAGAAAAACCCACAGACATTTCGTACTCGGGCCAAAGCCTCTGACAATGGCAGGGCAAAATGTACAAAAGAATCAGACTAAAAGTAAGCTGCAAAATATAATTCTGCCCTTGCCAAAAATGTTTGCCAAAGGTGGGCAGCGAGGTGTGCTACAAATGTTCTCTCTCGCGATTGAATGATAAGAAAAGGAAATGCTATTTGCTACGATCCACCCTTGCGGATACTTCGCAACCTTTTGGATGGTGGCTTGTGGGTTGGGGGTTGGTTTGGTGACTTGCCATGTGGACAGCTTCAGCGCAGCATGAGATTTCCTCCAAAATGCTTTTGAACTTCGGCAACGTCCCCTGTCCCCTGTCCCATATGGCCGCTCCCTGACTGCCGTCGTCGCCGCTTCTCACATGTAATTGTTGTGACATTATTTAATATGTCAAAGCAATGGAAAATCCTGCACGACACAAGAAGCGTGAGGGAAATGCGTATCTTCCGGGGCAAACGCCGACAATGGGAACCGCAATATTTGATTAGCATCAGTCAGAGCCGGAGCCAGAGCCAGAGCCAGAGCCAGAGCCTTCATTGATTCCATTCGATTCTATTTACGGATGTATCTAAGTAATGCAATTATCCGGTTACTCTTAGGAAAATCTGATGCCAGCATCAGCCAGCATACTTGTGCAGGCAAAAACATTTCCACTTAGTCCGGTTTCCGTTTGCACTTTTTGCTGTGTGCCAAAAATGTGCCAAAGCTGAGCCTTCCCCCCCTCAGCTACTTCCTCTTACTTTTTTGCATATTCCCAAATGTATTTGCACGGATATTCAGCTTATCTTTGATGTACCTTTTTTGTACATCGATAAGGTGAGTGGAAGTTTTTCGTGCGAGCTTTTGCTTATTGATTTTTTGCTTTGGAGGCAAAGTATGCAACTAAAATTGAGTAAAATGTATCCAGGAGGAAGCGGCATTTGCTTGTTTTAATATTTGAATAGACTGGTTAGAGCTGCACAACCCACAGCCCCGCAGTTAACTCAATTAATTTGTCAAATCAAGTCCGACATCAAATGCCAGCGCCAAAGCCAAACAATTTGTCACGCCAATCCCCGTGGCCCGGTGACTTCTGACAGTCAGGAAGAACCCACCCACCCCCCAGCCTGGCACTGTCTGTTCTATTTCAATTTGATATTTGTGTGTACGTAATTCAATACACACCGAATGACAAACCGGCTGGCTGGCTCTGGCTCTGTTTGCTGCTGCTTTTGTGTCTCAATTAGGCGACAATTTGATTTTCGTGTTGTTAATTTTTCATTAAATTTTTTGGGCAGCACCGCCGCCGCCGTGTGTTGTCAATTAATAAAGGAATTTCTGAGAGTCACGCCCAATTGCACAGTAAACCCCTGACCCCCCAACCACCCCCTCAACAGGTGCCTGTGATTGGGGTCAGAGCCACCCTTGGAACCAGGCTGGGTCCTCCCTGTAGTTGGAACTATTCGAGTGCATTCAGCTGTTTCCTTTTTAACAAGGCAAAGGCAGGGGAAAGTGTGTGTATTTCGTATTTGTTTTGCGGTGTAGCCAGTGTCCACTGACCAACTGGCCTTGAGACAATTTTTCCACACTTTTTCCACACATTTTCCACCTGCATTGTTAGTGAGGAGAAAGCAAAGGCAGGGAAGGACCTTCCTTTACGCTTTGCTGCACACTTTGATATGCTCCGTGCATTGAGACTCGGCTTGCCTTTTTGCCAAATTGCAATTTGCATATGCCGTCATGCAAAAATGGTTTTTATTAAATATTTCCAGCATGTCAGCCACTGCCAGGGGATGCTAATTAATTTGCTCGCAGTCCACCCGCCTGCCACCTGCTGTGAGTCTGCACTGTGGGGCTCGGGTCTGGCTCTGTAATTAAATGAATGCAAAATTCATGTTTCCCGAAATCAAGAGAAACATGCGTTTCAACAAGTTCTTCTGGCTGTTGAGTAATTTCTTCCCCTGACGTGCTGGCATTCCTGGTGGGGGCTGGTGGGGCGCCTGCCCCAACTGCCAACACAAATTTCACCTGAGCAATGTGACCGCTTCAAGCGAAAAGAAGTTTACGACATTTGCATAATAATGTCAGGCTTTTCACTCAAACTCTCACTAGCGGGTAAGTATAATTAAAATGTTAGTTTGAAGCCTGGCAATACATAATTTGGGAGCTATGCCCGCTGCCATAATTTCCACTTGCCGCTGGCATTGATGTTGCTGGATGACGTGCCCCAAGTACGAGGCAGAAATTCCAAGGAAAATACCTGGCAATTTCCAGGGAAATGTTAAGGCAACTCGAGCTAGAAGTAGAAGCTTACAAAAGTGATATTAATTTTGGCATAAAGAAAAGTAAATATTATTTTTGACTAGAAAATTAAATTAGTTGCAATTTTCGTAGACACCAGAAAGTAATCGGATTAGAAGTACATTAAAAAATCCTGTAAAATTCCACAATTAGCTATTCTTAAACTACAAAACTTTACCCTTTTTTAGAGCACTTAAAAGCTAATAAAAGTATTTTCCATTGCATTGCTTTGCTCGGCTAATTCAATCACTCCCAAGTTCCCTTCTTATTCCACCCTTCGTAGCCTTTTCGCTTCATAAACTGTCACGTAAAATGTATTAAATCCTCATTAACGCACATTTTAATTATAAATAAAAAAATGCAAATTAAACAAACTGTTTCACAAATTGAATGCACACATCCCTGCGCATGGCATGTCCTGTGTTCCGTGTCCTGTGTCGCAATCATTTACCCATTTGGTACGTAAATATTTTGGAAATCAATTGCCGGCTGGGGCGAAATCGCTTAGCTTATTTGCATATAAAACAGTTGAATTTATGAAACAAAATCTGAAAATATTGATGAAATTTGGGCACAAGGATCTGCCCCTTGACTTTACCCTGACTTTCCGTGCTGCTCGTCTGCGGCTCTCGTCGAGTCAAGTGGGTGTAAGAAATTGTATAAAACTTGCTACAAATTGGCTATGCATATAAATTGATGTTAATGCGCCGCTTTACAGCACGCTTAGGGTTGCTCCAGTCCGGTCCATCCAGTAGCCCAAGAGTATGCCATGGATATTCTGGCTCTAATCTTGTCCGATCGACCGGGCCCCAGTATATTCTTTCTAATCGTTTTGTTAATTCAATGGCTTCAAGTCGGCCTGCACCCGAATTGCCCGAATTTGATAGCCCATAACCACCAGACCGCAACAGGTGTTTGTACGCGTTGGCCGACCTTATCGGAGAACCCAAAATAAACTGGGCTTGCACTCGGAGAGTTCGCATGTACTGGCTACTGTACGGGTACGAGTACGACTGCGACTGCGAGTGCGAGTGCGAGTACGAGCATTATGGCCATCGATTATGGCGGTTTTGGCCTGACTAATATTTAGACTTATCTCTGGCAATGTTTGCTCTGATGTTAATCGGGAGAATTCATAAACAATTCATTAGAATAAACATAGCCAGCGATAATTAGTTTGTATTTAAAAATTAGGCAAGTGGCACACTTAACTATTCGAAGAATTACCATCCAGCAGTTCTGCATGGAGTTCTGGAGTAATTAAAATTATATCTGCTCATGGTTCGACACTATATGCTTCAGATCTGATCCTTCTTTATGGTTCCTCGTTCAGTTTTCTCTCATCCGCAGAAGCCACACAATTTCGCTCTTTATAGAGCTGGCAGAATGCGCGCCTAATTGATGAAATGCACTTCTTTCAGTCTACTAATTCATTACTTTGACTACCCCATACATCCGCATAATCATTTGCGTTCCTGTTATGCTAATCTCAGGCATTTCCCAGCTAAAAAATAATCAATCTTTGTGCCATATGAAAACTACTGAAAGGTGTTCCCTGCCTCATCAAATTTGAAGTGCGATTGAGACGTAATAAGAGCCATAAACAGTGTTCAATGTTCCGCCCTGATGCAAACTCAGTGCAAAACGGATAAGATTATAATCCGAACCGAGTGCGAGAGTGCGGGTATAAATACCCCGCCGATAGCCCAGTTTTGCGAACACAAACCAAAGTGCTTGCACAGAGAACAGACGCCAACAAAAAACCACAAGAAACATGTCCAACATTAAGAAAGTTTGCCTGTGCCTAATGCTGTCCCTGGCATGGACCCTGATCAGTGCGGATACTCCCATCAGACACTGTGCGGATAGCAGCATTCCCCTGCCGCTGATGGTGCAGATCAATGAGTGCGACACGCTGCCCTGCGATCTGTGGAAGGGTTCTGAGGCCAAGATTGATATACAATTTGTTGCCAGTAAGTCTAAACTCATCCCTTTGAATGGAAGAACATTTGCTAATTGTTTGATTTGCCTTCTGCAGCTCGCAATACCATGAAGCAGTTGACCGCCGAAGTGCGTCTGACCTCGCTGGGCGTCACTCTGCCCTACGATCTGGACGCCAAACGTGGCAATGTGTGCCAGAATCTGCTACACGGCGCCTACTGTCCCCTCGATGCTGGCGAAGATGTCACCTATGAGCTGCTGCTGCCCGTGGAGCCAACTCAAATCGAGGTGCCCACACGCCTGGAGGTTCGACTGCTCGATGTGGATAATGGCAATCAGGTGGTGTCCTGCTTTGTGACGGACACGCGCGTCAAGAAGCCAAATTCGTTGTAGGAACTAAACACGAAGGAGAGGACTAGGTTAAGTGGAGACATTGCATCAATGTTTCTGCACTGAGCATCGGGGGCGATGCCAAATTAATAGGCGTAAGCTGTTTGGCCGGACCCCAGAGCCCGACCAAACACTATTAGCAATTATGAATAAGCAATAAGGGGGAGAGCATTATGAATAATAAACATGAACATCTGAGTTAATTACTCTCACACATATACACTCGCATGTGTTTTTGTGCAGCTTAGCCGCCAGTCCTGCCAGTGTGGAGCGGAGGAAAGGCGCTATGAATCGGCTTAATTAAATGACGCAGAAAATTACGCAACACCGCAGGAGCAGGAGCTGGAGTTGGAGCTGGGGCTGGGGCAAAACTTGCAGGTGGTGCGTGCGGTTTCCTTTTATAAAATTGTAAACTTTTCGCTCTCTTTTCCATTTACACGCAGCTGGGCCATGGCACCTATGGCTTCGCTTCCATCACTTCCTTCCTGCCTACAACGCGCGCTAATTGGCTTTTCAACACTTTGGTGCTTCCGACTCGACTGCTTCGATGACTGCTTCTGGCTCTGGCTCTGGCTCTGGCTCTAATGAATAAGCTCTGATGGCGTCGCATATCCGTCGGTTAGCTAATTGAGTCGTTGACTAGGTGGTGACATAAAACCCTGCAAAACTAAGGAGCTACAAATTGGCAAACCCCCAGCGGCAGGTGCCCGTGTACCTATCCAGTTCAGCTGTACTTGAAGATGAAATGCTGGCCTATGTTCGGTCAAACGTAGCGATCTGCTGATGATAATATTTAAGCAAATTATAGAACACAAATAAAGCCCAACTAATTAATAGATTTGCTTAGTCATGAAGAGATATTTAGGCTGTTAGTCAGCCAAGGATCGGCTGAGCCGTCGAGCTCATTGCAAAATGAAACTCACTCGCGTCGGTTGGCTCTTGGCTTGCCTGTGGCTGCACGTGGCTGGGGATGAGAGCTCTTTCTTTGATGCTGATCCATATGAAAAGGCAAGTTTATATAGTAACTTCAATGGCCCAAAGCTAATTCCAATTCTTTGCAGCGCGCTATGGTGTCCATCCGCCACATAAAGGTCTTCGGTGAGTCCCGCTACATGCGGGTCAAGACACGCATACACGAGGATCGCACACCGGGAGCTGGGCACCAATCATTTGGTGATGAATGTCAGGGTGCGGGTTAGGCCCGATGGCAGGGACAAGTTTGTGCGTTTGTTCGAGCTGAAACGCATCAATTTCTGTGGCTTTCTCAGCGAGTACAATGCCAGTCCAATGCTGCGACTTCTGTTCAAAAAATCTGTCATCCTGAGCGACATTATAGAGTGCCCCATTCGTGTGGGCAACTACTCCATGTTGAATGCCGATATGGCCGAAAATATCTCACCGGATGGCGTACAAAATGGCACCTACAATTTCTTTACGGAAATTGTCGAGGAGAGCGGAGAGATAGCAAAAGTATTTGCCATGCAGATCACTTCGACTGTACAGATTATAGAGCCAGAGCCAGAGCCAGAAAATGGCGAGTGATTTGTTTTGGTAATTGAATAAATGTCCAACATTAAGCTGCAGCATGAAGCGGAACATGGCAACCGATCTACCGCTGATCTGCCGATGGTTGTGCCCATTGCGCAATGAACCTCATTCAGATCGCATTGTTTTTGTCGCTGTTTCGGTTGTCATACTGCAAATCGTTGTGGGATGATGAAGATTCCGCATGCCAGGTAACGTAGTTATCCCTGGGTGAACCAACTCTGAAAGCATTGCCCTGCCCTTACAGAAACCCATACTCCGCATCAGCCACATCAATGTGTATGGCGAATCTCGCTACATGAAAGTCTTCACCTTTATCCACGAGGATCGCACACAATTCGATCTGAATGTGCTACTCAAACAGGAGCTGGGCAGCAATTTTCTCATCTTCAACATGAAGGTGCGTGTGCGGCCCCAGGGTGGAGCGAACTTTGTGACTCTGCTGCAAATGAAGCGACTGGATCTGTGTGGTTTCCTCACCGACTTTTCGGGCAATCCCATGATACGTTATTTTCTCAAATCACATATGCAAATGAGCAAAATCATTTCATGTCCCGTGCGCGTGGGCAACTTCTCGGTGGCGAATGTCAGCGTGTACGATATCTATCCAGCGAATTTACAGAATGCCACCTACAAGTTCTTCGTGGATGTGGTCGAGGGCACGGGCGAGATAGCCAAGGTCTTTGCGCTGCAGGTGACCACGGACATCAGTGTGCCAGCATGCCGGCTTGCACAAGAATAACCTGAAAACCGTCGAGTGTTTGCGAACAAAGGACACATATGTAATTACGCTAGAGAGAGCACACACATCCCCTTCTGCCGTGTGCCGTGTGCCGTGTGCCATGTGGCAAACCCCCTGCTTGCATTGTAAGCGGATTGCCTGTCGATTTTCCCTTAGCAATTCCGCATTTTCCGCCGCTCAGTTTTTCCATTGTGCGTCATGCGTTCTTGGTGGCATTTTCCCCCTCAAGTATTGTATTGAAAATCGCTTAAAGTGCAGAGTCCGATTATGGTGATTATCTGTAGACTATCTGGGACTTGCGTGTCTCTGTTTAGAGGTTGGATTTCCCGCGGGATACTCGCGGTATTCCGAAGCCATATGTGCTCTTTGTTGCACGTAATTTTCGTATAATTAATAGAAAAACAATACGTTCAATGGCCAATCAATGGGGAAGCCAAACCAGTCAGACAACTACTCGTAACTAAAAGCTAGAAGCTTCTACGCCACTAAAACCCTTCCCAAAAAGTCAAATCAAGTCGCTAAAAAGCAACCTCTCTCGCTCTCTGCATGTAATTTGATATTTTAATGGATGTTGAAATATTCCTGCGACGCTTAATTAAAATCCGTAATGCGGTTTTCAGACCGTGTTTCTACAATTTTTTATTTGCTGTATTAAAGGGGTTGGGACGCTGCCGCCTGGTCACACCCTTCGATCGGAAAATGTCTTTATTCACGCACAATCAAATCACTTTGGCAATTCAATTTGGCGAAAATAATGTGAATATCTTCTGGGGGGATGGGCAAATGGAAATCCAAACAGGAGTAAATGCTAAAGAAAATTCCAACAATTTCAAGTAGCAGAGTGGGGGAGTAGCTGGGGGGAAATGGACCAACTCACGTGAAGTGCCAATGCCTGCTATCAAGTGTCGCACTTATGTGTGACCTTTGCAAATTCAATTTGTCGCCTTTCTATCTACAAATATTTTCTATTAGCCACGTCGATAGCGAGGCTTTCAATTTTTCAATTTCAATTTCAGGCGTTGAAGAGAGGTCAATGGCTCTTAGAGTTCTCGCAGAAAACTGAAACTAGAAGCTGTGAAATATTTATTTCTTTCATTTTTAGAAACTTTCTCCAACATATCTCCCATATTCATATTAAAATTGAATCAATCAAAATCGATTTTAGACCCAGCCAAAGTCAGCGTCAAATTCAATTTAGACTCGGCTTAAAACGAAAAAATTGTGTGGGTCCAAGGCATGTGCCATTTGCTTTTCGAGGCTCAACGGTTTCTAGCAATTAAAAAGGCGTTGAGTTGGGCAATTAAACACACGAAGCCTGCCTCAAAAATAATTCACTTAAATAACGCAATGTTGCGTAATTCAGTTTCACAGTTTTGTAATTAAAAGCATTTGCATAAGAATCACATAGAGCTGAGGCCTCAGCCTCGGGCATACTTTCATGCCACACTAATTAAAACTGGCAGACCCAAGACCCTTCTCGGGTGCTGTTTGGGTCCTGCTGCTCCCTCAAAGGTCATCAACGTCCGCAGCGAGGCGACACTGGACTGCACTTCCACTCCCACTACCACTTCCACCCACTGCCACTGCAGTCGACTGTTGTTGGGTTTTGTCAATAGCGTTTTGTCCGCTGCGTGGCATACAGGAAGTCTTTAAGCGCAATTCAATAAGGAACTAAAGTGGCTGAAGCATGAAGCGCTTTTGGTGTTTTACAGTTGAAAAATGTTGAAAATTGTTTATTGTAAACTGTTTGTTAGATACAAATTTAATGAGCTACTTATAGGTTTGCAGTATTTTTTTTGTATGAATATTTCCTCAAAATATTACCCAAAGCGTTAACATTTTTTCGGTTATTTACTGAATTCCTCAGTCGTTAAATAGCTGTCATTGCGTTCACATATCTATTTATTTTAGTCTTTAAATACTCTTGCCAATCATTTTTGGAATATTTAATATCTAGAGCAATAAAAGTGTATTTATCCTCACATGACTGGAGTGAGTATTTAGCTGAAATCGAAATTGATAAACCTATCCGAAATTCCATGAAATAGCCCAACTCCGATGATTATGTTGATTTTGTGCATTTCGGAAGTTGCGCCTCAACGATGATGGTGCCAATCATTCTGTTCCGAGTATTCACGTTTGTAGCATTGACGCTAATCCTTCACGTATCGGATGGTCTATTCAAGTATAAAAATATCAAGTGCAAGTGCTATGAGACATCTTTTTGCGAGTTCACGACATGTGAGCTTAAGATACTGGGCCGAGGCATTGTGGGACTCAATATGCATGTGCAAATGAAACAGCCGCCTATCACCAGAATAAAGGTATGTCCGAGTATCGAGACTAGTCCCTTCAGGACAATCCCATATGTAGTTGCATTGCCATTGCAGGCTCAGGTGACTACGTTCCGGCGATTCAGCGGCTATCGACCATTTCTGTACAACGTCACTGTCGATTTTTGCGGCTTCATGAAAAACCCGAAACGCTTTCCATTCTTCTTCATGGTGCACGAAGCTATACGAAAATTTAGCAACTTTAATCACAGCTGTCCATATAATGTGAGTAGAAGCGGTGTACCATGAAGCCTGTACTTATTTGTGTATTCCTCATTGCAGCATGATATCAGTATCAATCGAATGGTGCTCACTGATGAAATGATCAGTAGAATACCCGTACCCAGTGGATACTACAAGCTATTGATCCGCATGGCTTCCGAAGGCATTTGGCGCGGCGAAGTTGAGGCATATTTAGAGGTCAATGTGGGCTACGATCGCTGAGAAATCAAAGAAATAATGTTGTAATGGGTTAAGCAGTTCATTTGTAATAGACGGAGCCCAATAGTTTTCGTCTATCAATCACATATTATCTGCACTTGCCTCATTTCATTCATTCCCTCTCGCAGCGACGACTGTGATCCATCCGTTGAGCAAACATATCGTAAATCTGTTACCCAACAAAAAATCATCATCATATGAGCCTAATTAAGAGCCCATTACCCAACCCTCGCTGTGTAAACAGACACCGCAGACCGCAAGTCAGCCAAGCCAAAAACCCAAACCCAAAGCCATGGAACCCACCCTCCCAGTCGCGGGCTGCGGGGTGGCATGCAACGTGTTGCGGTTGATGGGTAGCAGGGGGGGCATGGAATTGTTACGTGTGTAATTCGACACTTGAACATGTTTACAGCAAACGACAACAACCTGGGCAATTAGCCCATGAAAATCATCATGCAAATGAGCGGAAAATGTTTCTCCATTCTCGTGAAGAACATTTCCTTAGACAAGTGTCAGGAGCAGGCACAGGCACAGGCACAGGCACACAAAGGCCCCAGCTATGCTAATGAGAGCCCCTGACGAACTGACAATTAGCCAACGGCCAGGAAAAAGCCACAAAGTGAAACCTGTTGACCTCGTTGCCGGCGGAAATCTTAGCAAAAGCTGAAAAAAACTTAATGAACCGATCTCTTTTTTTCTGTCTGTTGTGACGTGGGAGGAGTGAAGGAAGCTGCGTGAGTTTTTGGTTGTAAAAGTTCATAATTAAATTCCTGTTTATTAGTCGTTGAATTGTTCTTGGCTGTGCAGACTGTGGTGGCTGCTGTTGCTGGCGTCCCGACGCAACAATTTAATTAAGTTTTTGTAGACCTTTTTTCGCTCTAATTAATTGCATTCAGTTGCAGTGGAGGCCAGGGCTGGAGCTAGGGAATGAACCGGAACTTGTGGCACGTTTTTTGGTTAGGAATATATTTCTAAAGTGTATTCCGCTACAGCAAAGCAGCATGGAAATTATAGGAAATTATAGCATGGAAACTATTCAGCTGCTGAGGCTTCGGCTTCAATGTATTAAGCAAATTATTGCATTGCAAGAGAGCCAAAAAAGATGCCTTTCGTTGAGATTAAAACTTCAAAAATATATAAAAATCGAAAATTGTATAACCTTAACCAATGTCAATCTTCTCTCCAGCCCTGTCTTCGCGTTGCTTTTTTTCGTGCTAGCTGGCGCCATTTTGGAAAACCCAGTCCAGTCCCCTGGGAAGCTACATTAAAATTTCAAAACCACAAAAAGAATCCTTTGGTTCTTAAAATGTCTGAACAAAGATGACCATGATGATGAAGTTGGGAAGAAAGGAGAAGAGAGCACAGCGAGAGAGAGAGACGCACAAAGTACAGATAGCAAGGCAACAAAAGGCTCAATCACCTGTCCCGGTTCTACTGCTCATCCTCATCCTGCTCCACCCAAGCTAGCGGTGGTGTGCGAA